AAGGATGCCCTGGTGGTCCCCCTCTTTAAGAAGGGGGACCGCACAGACTTAACAACTACAGGGGCATCTCACTCTTCAATGTGCCGGGAAAGGTCCTGGCAAGGATTATTCAACATCGCCTTGCCAGGCACGCTGAGGAGAGGCTTGTGGAGTCCCAATGCGGTTTCAGGAAAGGGCGGTCTTGCACAGATGCCATATTTTCTGTCTGTCTGCTACAGCAGAGGTGTAGGGAATTCCAACAAGACCTACATCTCTGCTTTATTGACCTGGTCAAGGCCTATGACACCATTATAGGCCTTGACCTGGGCTCTGGGTTGTTCTTCGTGCTTTTGGAGTCCCTGACCCCCTGCTCATGATCATTAAGGACCTTGATGATGGTGAGCGGGCCCGGGTAAAACTACGTGGCCGTTAGTCAGAGCCATTCCCTTTACACCTTGGGGTGCGACAGGGATGTTCTCTGGCTCCCACATTATTTAACATCTATTTTGACCACGTAGTTCGTGAAGCCTTCAATAGCTGTACCGGGGGAATCTCCATTTGGTACAGATATAATGGGAGGCTGATCGATGCCCAGGTGACGGCAAGGGATGGCTCACTATTGCTCAACCACGTTATGTATGCCGATGATTTGGTAATAGCTGCTCATTCAGAGGAGGAGTTGGAGACGCTGCTGCTGAGACTGGAGCGTGCCACTAGGAGATGGGGCCTTACCATCAGCCCCACCAAAACTAAGCACCTGCCTGGGTATTTTGTACCATCAGACACTCCACCCCCACAACTCCCAATCGGTGATGGGGCTGTTGTGGAGAGAGTGGAGAGTTTCCCATACCTGGGCAGTGTGCTTATGACCGGCTCCAGTTTAACAGCAGAGGTTTCACTCCGAATCAGTCGAGCGGCAATATATTTTAATCGGTTGCGTAACACTGTGTGGAAGCTACCTGGTCTGTCGCTCCGCACTAAGCTTCAGGTCTTCTCGGCCACGGTCATTCCCTCCCTTCTCTATGCTTGCGAAACGTGGACCCCCTTAATGGAACATCTTCGCCGGTTAGAAACATTTAGGCTCGCCTGCCTACGATCCATCCTGGGTTTAACCAGGCTGGATTGTGTGAGGAGCTCACAAATCCTTGAAAGATCTGGGCAAGGTCCCATCGGTGAGCTCCTCTGGCAGGCAAGGTTGCGTTGGCTGGGTCATGTAGCCCGCATGCCCAGCCACCACATGCCGAAACAGCTTTTGTTCGGCCGGATCGAGGGGGCTAAACGGGCGCGGCACGGGCTCGAGAAGAGATGGAGTGATGTGGTACAGGAGGACGTGGTGCTGAGTGGACTTGCCCATAACTGGTACCAGCGGTGTCAAGATCGGCCTCTGTGGAGGAGGCTCGTGAAGGACGCTGCTGGGCAGTTGGAGGCAGTCGCCCTCCAACAACAACGGAGGGCGGAGGAGCGACGCTCACAGCAACGAGCGGAGCGCCGGGTGGCTAAAGCACAACAGGTTGGCACAGTAGGGGGCACAGGTGGTGCATCAGCCAGTCATCTCAGTCAGTTGACTCGTGGCACCTGGGTCTGCCCCGTGACCTCCTACCTGCGGGCGTTCGACACTTCACGTGGCCTCAAGGTGCACATGGCCTGGCACAAGCGTCGTAGTGACGTCACCGCCACTTGGTGGCGAATGGCGGTCGTTGTTGTGTGTGCGTGCGCGCGTGTGTGTGTGTGCGTTGAGGAGCGGTGGCACAGTGGTTAGCGCGCCGTGCTGCAAACCCGGCGACCCGAGTTCTATTCCCGCTCACGGCTAACATCAGTGACGATTATCTGAACCGGTCATGGGCATCTCCTAGGTTGACTCAGCCTCAAATGAGTATCTGGTGCGTCGCCACTGGGGAGACAAAGGCAGCCGAGCGTGGTGCTGGCCACCCATCATGCCCTCGTGTGCCATTCCGGCCTTCATAGGTGCTTGCTAACAGCACTTGCCCCAACAGTCTCTTGCAGGCTATATGGGGGAGGGGGGATATTTACCTTTGTAAGTGTGCGTAGCCGGTCAGTGACTCGTAAGTTATGTGTAAGCACAAGCAAACACGATGCAAAATCACACAAATGCAAGGTTATACATAAAAGCATGGCCAAGTACTCTATGTGTTTGTTATTGAGTCGTACATTTGTGCATTTTTCTATATTTTTTGCATATAAATTCAAATATGTATATCGTGTAAACGTTTACCCACATCGTTAACCTTTGCGAAAATGTAAGAAAGTACACAATATTCAGCCAATGTCCATGCAAAAATGTACATAGAGTTTTGTAACGTTTCGTTTCACCGCCATTGTTATGACCTCTTCTCTCTCTCTGTGTTCGATTGATGTTGAGCCACAATGGTGTGTGTTTTTGTATAAACTTGGGGGTGGTTATAACCAGTGGGCTTTTGAGATAAACGAATCTGAAATTCCTCCATCGGTGGAAAACAGTGCCAAGTTGTTGGGTGTTTTTTTCTGTGCAATTATTAAACTGTAGTTCTTAATGGATATAATTATTATTGTTATTATGGCCGTACGATTTATTTTTGAAAGGGGGACAGCAATTGGGAGAGCAATTGCTCTTTGAAAGAAATTTAAAAGGACACATGCCATTCACCAAACTGTTGTGCTTTGCATTCTGTGATCAAGTGAATTTTTTTTTTACCACCGTTTTAATGACCTCTATGATTTTACTTACTACAGGGTTTAAGCAAGATATTTCACATTTTTGCTCTCGGATATGTGTTAAATGTTGTTTATACAATGCTATAATTACGTAAAATCTTTCGGGAATTATACACTTTTAATTATTTCATACGATCGCTCGAAATTCGCGAAATTCTTTCAAAGCACTGAACGTAATATATAACGTATATAACGTTCTATCGCAATGAGCAATTAAAAGTCCGGTATTTCAAATCAGTACATTCATATAACGATGGTTCGATGGTAATAACACGATAAGGCCGTGGCTCACATGACCAAATCTGTTCAGAGTACTTCTTCATATGGCTGATGTGGATGTAGTGCAACCAGTATGATTTTACGTTGAGGTGGTTGAGCCAGATGATTGCGTCCGGAGGGAGCGGAGTGACTTGCTGCTCTGATGATGTTTCCTTCGTGTTTGCAAATCCAGCATTGAGTCGTTTTTACGACCCATGGTTCTGTTCTGAGTGATCGCGGTCAAACACTGCAGGTTTATTTCCCATTGCTCTGAGTGCCGTACTGCTAATACGATACTGAGTACAGTACTTGTATGGAAGTCCTGAATTCTCCGTGTTGTGCGAAGGAGACGAAAGATACATGTTTGGAAGGGGGGGGGGGGGGGAGTGTACGTGTAGCAATTACTCCCATGCCTGCTCACCATGATATTGCTTTGTGTGGCATAAGAGCATGAGTGGGTAGGGTTAGTGCCGCACACTGCAATGTGGCATAACTTATGACATTAGAGTAGTTTAATGGACTGGCCGCGGGGACTAGGGAGATACACGCAATGTATTAACCCTGTGCGATGGACTATTAAAAGGGTGATATTGATGACGAATTGTGCATGGACCATTTAAAACGGGGCAGCTCTGTCAGGGGGACATTGTGTGTACATACGTATGTTCAACTTCCTTCGAACCGCACGTAGCCTACCGTGCTAATTTGAGGTGCGGGGGAAGGACGACAAACTAAACACAATAATAAATGAGATTTCAATCCAGATTTCATAGTGCATAGCTCCAGTGGCTTCCTAATATCGGAAGGAAGAGCGTTCCAGACGGCCGCAGAAGCGCATCTGAAAGCGCACGCGTGCAGTGGCCCGTCTTTTTTTTGATGGGCAGCCAAAACGTGTCGGGAAACTACCTGCCAGGCCTCAAATAAACGTTCCACCACCAAAAGCCGCAGAAGGTACAATAGTCCACTCACAACACACTGCGCATCTTAATGACATCGCATCGACATACATTTTGACAGATAGCTGCAAAGACTATTTAACTTATGTAAGATGTTCTATCGTTTGACTCGAAGAATGTTACTTTCATTCAATGTTTAGTTTTGCAAATACAGAAAAATGCACAAATGTGTGTTGGGTGGTTTTCTCAGTATTTATCCTTTAATGTTAAACGTTTATGTTTATGACAGCCAAACTTTGCGTTAGCCAGTTTATTTCATACCAAAAATGCTGTGAACATTTGTGAATGTGCAATAACAACTGACAGTCTTCAGCAGAGATATATATACAAAGCAACAATCCCATATATGAAGTAAGATATAATGTAAAAAAAATTCTAAACACTACACATCAATACGAGATGAACCGTAAAAAGGTTGTATAGTAACAGGGATGTTTAAAATTATAATATATTTTAACAGTGGTTGTGAGAACTACACAGCAAAAGCTGTTTTACTTTAAATGTTTATGAATATGCTATTTGAGAACATGTTAAAATCTCAACACGTTAGCACCCAAGTTTGAACTCAACGCCATCACGTCTGGGCATATCGTTGGTGTTGTGATATCATAAATAATGTTACATGGGAATACTCTCAACATTTCCCTAAAATCTACCAAGATTTTGTTTTTTTAACATCTCCTCCGCCCATTTATAAAAGTAGCGATAAAGATTTACCTATACACACACACACGAAATCCCGTCAGATGAAACAAATAAAACATACCTAAATGAATTCAAGACTTTTAAGATCACGAACCTATCGATTAATTTCACGGACAGGAAGGACCATTTGTGAAAGATCAGCCGCAAATTTGTAAGATATATTTCATCAAACCGTAGGTTATTTCTTGTAAGGACTTTCTTGCAACGGTCGTTAAATCTCTGGCGCTCCTGTTCTGCGACCTGTCCGCTCGGTTAATTCGCATGTGCGGTGCAGCGGCAACTTGTTGGAATGTTTTTTTTTTTGCTTTTAAAATCAAAACTTGTGATTAGATGCCGCTTTCTTTTCCACGTTGGCTGTATTGCTGGGAGTGTGGGTTACATGTGAACACGTGGCTCTCAGATGCTGTCCTCTGTGACGTATATCATGAACTACGTTGCAATTACAATGCTGTGCAAAATAAAGGCTCTTATTTAAATAGCATATAATAATAAAGTATCTCTACATGCTGAGTGGTAAACATTTGGAAATTATGCGTGCCTTTGTAATATTGTGTTGCGCTACATGCGATGGCTTAAGGTTTCATAGTATGCTGTAATTTTACACTGTAATGCCCACGATGATTTGCATGCTCAAACTACACTTGGTGCCTGCTTACTGATGACCATGCACTCTTGAAATTCGTGCTGCGACTGGCATAAGCAATACAATGACTGCTCTTCATCATCACAATCAGCCATGATCAAACCACTGCTGGATAAAAGCATGAATTGGGCCACAGGATTCCACTTATCCGTGAGAAAAAAAATCGCGGGTAATGTTATGTGTTGGTAGATGGACAGATATGTGTCGTGTCTGTATCGCCGCGTGAGCAACGGCAACAAAGACAGAGACACACACACAAACACATTAAGGGAAATCCATACGTGCACACACAGACGTGGAGACACAAAGTCCTTGGTGTTCGTGAGCTTGGGGCAGGACACATTCCTCGCTCGAAAGGATGATGGGTGATGGTCAAGAATAATAACCACGTGGCAGCCAAGGAATGGAATGCACCCATCAGTACGTCCGCCAGGAAGATGGAGCGATGATGTCAGGTCATGTGCAGGTGCGGAATGCATTGTTGTTTCCAAGACCATCATCAGGTGGCGGCGACTTGGGGAGGGAATTCATCCACCAGTGGACTGACCATACTGTGCGCTTACAGTTCACGGCTAACATCAGTGGTGATAATCTGGTCCCCTAGGTCGACTCAATTCGTCACTCCCCGAAGGATGTGTGCTCGTCAGAATGTGTAAAAACACTTTAATTCTATTCTTGCGTATTATGGCAATAGGTCCAGAAGCTAAACATACCAATGTCGAGGTCTGCTAGCCATGAGAAGGCTTCAGGATAGTTTGTGAAGATTTTTCTTCAATCGAAAGAGCTCAGAGTCCAGTGGTTTACTATATGGTCCATAGTTAAAATTTTCATTAATGTCGAGATTTGGATATGATGTTACACCAGTGAATTTTCCACCCTTGTTCTTTTGACTGCTATGGAAGAGTCAAATCACAATTAACATCATCATAATAAGATAGCTCACTAGCTTCTTAATGAGGGTGAGAGTCCAGCTTTTTTTTTGAATATTTGTTCTTATTACATTAAATTATATGCCGGTATTATCCATTAAAAAGTACAGTTTGTAATTTATATATATTTTAATGTACATTGTAAACAATTGTAAGCGTTAAATAGCAATGATTAAATTACCAAGTATTTAATAACCGGAACATCAGTATGCAACTATAAGCCTTCTTAGTGCAGTGGTAACGCATGTAGCCTCTTACTCTCCTAGCATGGGTTCAAATCCCACGGTAAATATTTTTGGTTTCTTATACAAATTATACGATGAGCCACGTGCATGCAGTACAATCATATTGAGCACCTCTAAGCCCAACCCACCTGTAGGAAACACGGGTGGCTCTGCACACACAGTGACAGTATGGCAACGCAAAGGTTCTAGGTTCAAAGTTCAAATCCCATCCATGGGCATGGAATAAAACTTCAACCAAGGTGAGTGCTAATTCAATGTAAGTGCTTTAATGTGGATGTATTGTCGTGTGTCCTCTGTATGAAGTGCAGGTGAGCGGAGTGAAGTCCAAATGGGAGCAGGAACCTGGAGTACAGCAGAGAGATGGAAGGGAGAAGGAAAAAAAATGGTGAATTTTTGGGGGATACATACAACTAACTTTATTACCACTAGGGGGCGCTCTTCCACCGCTAGGGGCGCTGTTTGCGTAGGGGGCACCGTTTCATTAGAATGTCCCTTTAAAACGCTCTTTTTGGGGCAAACATATCGAATTCCACCATTTTGCCAAAAGTTTTGCACAAAATCGCTGTGAGGCGAAGCACGGAGACACAAAAAATCACCATAAATAGGTCACTGCCCGCCACTGCGAGTGCACATTTTTTTTGTAATTCGCATTCTAACTGCTATATCGACACCAAAACAATATTTGAAGAACAATCACAAACATTACGAACAATTTCAAAAGAAGGTCTCAGTGCTCAGTTTCACAGTGATTTTGAAAAAAAGCCTACAGTTCAATTGCGTTGGTAAATCGATATATTTGCTTCAAATTAGCGTTTAAAATCGAACAAAACACAGCGTCCCTAGTGGCAGAACAGCAACATTCTAAAACATTTAACATCGGAGTGCTAAAAGCTTTAAACGTGAAAACATTTTAAACATTTTCGAGATACTTGATTGTGACTTTAAAACGCGGTCTGAACATGCAAACGGAGTTCCATGGAAACGTCCGTTGTGGAAAATCACTACGTAATTAACGACTTCTTAAACGAGCACGAATAAAAACACGGATTGAAAGTAAGCACGTGCATTGCTGCAGAATAGACTCCACAGGCCTGCTCACTGCCCAGAGGTCTTGCTCCTGTGTGACTGTAACATGGACGTTAAAGACCCTGGGACATCGGATTCGCATTTGCCAAAACCAAACAGACTTTCGATCCAAAGCTAGGCACAAGCGTGATTTGAAAAGGTCACGGGAAGAAGACAAATTTAACACGCAGGCTTTCGCGACCGATATTATTCAGAAGTGGTTTTTGGGTTATATAATGTAAATATTTGTCGTTAAACCCGCCACTACTCGACACAGTCAATTATTAAGATTTGTCAGGTAAACATACTCTGGCTGTCCAACTCATTATGCGAGTTGTAATTAATAGCGAAACGTCATACTCGAATTGCAAATGTTGTGGGTTTACTCTCCAACACACCGGTGTGCTGATCTAGTAACGAATTGGCACGTTTTGTTCACGTGACAAACCTTACTAATTGACTATATCGGGTGGTGGCGGGTTTAACGACGCATTTATATTAACCCGATCTAACCCAAAAACCTCTATTATGGAGAGCATCAATTCGTAACACACAATGTCCACGCCTACATGACGAGTTCCTGTCAGCAGCATTGAATCGCTATCGGCTTTAGCTTCGCACACACAGGAAGCGGATGTCTTGCTTCACTCGTGGTGGAGGGATTGTTGAGCACGAGCAACGTAGAACGAGCGTCGAGCTCACCTCAAGGGGTCCCCGGCTCCAGGTGGCAGAGACCCTGCCAGGGTTCATGTGGAGGGTCCCTGTTGAAGGTCCCAGCTCCAGGTGCAGGATCCCAAGGTCTAGGTGGAGGGTCCCAGGGTGCCAGTTGGAGGTCCCCAACTCCAAGGTGGCTGGGTCTCAGAGTTCACTGGGAGGGATTGGTCCCCGAGGGCCCTAAACTCCAACTACGTGACGCAGATGAAACAGAGTACACACCATACAAACAAACTCAGATCCTCCAAACTGTTGGGACAAGTGCAGTTAGTGAGCACCCGATGAAGGCCGGCACATGCCTCACGAGGGTGGTGTGGCCAGAACCACACCCGGCTGGCCGCCTTTGTCTCCGAAGTGCTCCTGTAAACACACGGCACCAGGTACTGATTTAAGGCTGAGTCGACCGACGGGAGCCCCACGACCGGTTCAGATATTCGTCCCCGACGCTGGGCTTAACAATTGTTCTATGTTTGATTGTTCTATTTCAATTAAAATATTTTAATAAATACATGTTAGAAGCAATTCATATCTTTTAAGTTCTCATCCTTGCATTAGAATATATAGAGCAGTTCATATTTTGATGGTATCATGTGCTAATGCTCCATCACATGTTTTAAATATATTACACAGTGAATATTGAACTGAAGCTTGACTTTTAAAAAATGTAATCGCATATCAAATCGCAATATCTGTCACAAAAATTGCAATCGGATATTTTTCCCAAAATCGTTTAGCCCTAGCTCCGAGCCCTGCCTTCGTCTCTCCGTGCCCGTGTCTCTCACCCCCGAGTCTCCGTGTCTCGGTGAGAGCAGCCGTCTGCCCCTTTGCTTTGTCGCCCGGGCGCCGCGGTGGCTAGGAGATGTTGACTACCTCGCCTGGTATGCAGGAGGTCGTGGGTTCGATCTCGACCCTGACGACGCCTGTTGTACATGTGGAGTTGGCGTGTCTCTGTCTCTCTACCCCCCCCCCCCCCCCCCCCCCCCCGTGGTCGCGTGGATATTTCGCCAGGTCGACATTTAGACTCGACGTGCGTTTCACAGTTATTTGGTAATTTGGTTGCTATACATCTCCACGTGATGAAAAGCCACTTGGTTGAGCTATCACTTCTGATTGCCAGGTCGCTTCTCAAAAAACACATTCCTGCGGAGGGAGCTGGTAGGAACGTTGGGTTGCTCGGTCAATGGCCAGAGTCAACGGCGGCACCACGTGGTGTATTCCGCAAATATGCCCGACTGTGAGGGCGGGCACAAGCCAGCGTGAGTAGGTTAAACGTTGAGTTTTATAAGGGCACCACGGGGTGACCAGCCCCTCCCCACCCAGCCCAAATCCCTCCCACCCCCTACCCAGCCCCACCCACCCCACCCAGCCCCTCCCCACCCTCCCCTCTCCACCCAGCCCCACCCCTCCCATTTTTGGATGCACGACGGACGGACACAATAATCCCCTGTGGACTGGTGGTGTCACCAGCAGGTTCCTACCAGTAAAAGAGCTACGTCGCTCAGTGGGCATTACCTGATAAAATGAAACGTTTAGTTCGTTTAGTTTATATTCTTTGGGTCTTTCGGTAAAGTCACGTAGATGGGTTTTTCTCCAGGTCCCTCCGGGCTTTTCCCTCAACAAAGAATATTAATTCCTGCAGTCACGAAAGCTTTAGTAAGTCAAGATTTGGTTTAGTTTGTGCGGGTCACGAGGGTCGAGCTCCGTGCAAGGGACGACGGGACGTGGAGGCCTCTAGCGGCCAACTTCACTCTTAGCACTCTAGCTCAAGTAAAAGTCACATTGTACGCAACCGGTTAATAGCTGTAAACAAACACATTGTTGGGGTGGGAGGGCAGTAGTTGGTTTTTGGAGCAACAAATTAAATGTAGCTTTTTTGTTGTTGTAAAATATGGCATTAAAATATATATTGGCAAACGTTTACCGTTCATACTCTTTGGTTCTTTCGGTAAAGTCACGTAGGTATAAAATAAAATAAATTAAATCACGACGTTTCGATTGCAACACAAGCAATCATCATCAGGTGCTTGTGTTGCAATCAAAACGTCGTGATTTAATGTATTTTATTTTATACCTACGTGACTTTACCGAAAGAACCTTAGAGTATGGATCCCTGCAGTCACAAAAGCTTCAAATCAAGATTGTATGGAGTGTGTTGGATTGTAGGTCGGGCTGGGGTATCACAAGACAGATGTTTTGTGATACCCCCCCCCCACCCCCCCTCCCAATTAATTTAACCCTAACATTGTTTTACTTTACATATTCATTTAATAAATAAACCTTACTTTAAAAATATAAAGTTTGAGAGAATTGAATGGGGGGGGGGGGGGGGGGGGGGTCACAAGACATTCGGATCACCCCTGTACATTCACACCATACACAAACCCTGAAAAAAAAGCATTATTACACATCAGAGTCGATGCATTATTATCATCGGCTTGGAGATTCCATCTTCACTGATCCCCTCAATCACCGCATCCGCAAACAACTTCAGCAGTGTGAACCATTGCCAATGCTGCATTGTTAAATCCCATTCCGAGTACTGTACATGCGTTTGGGATTAATGTTTGCGATCTTGTGCTCACCACGTTCCAGCCCCCAATGTCCATAATCCAATCAGCCCGTCTCCACCGGCCATAAACCTCCACATCCCCATCAGCTCCACGTTAAAAAAAGACTCGAGAACAGCTGCGCAGCCAATGAACCAGCATTTTTAACTGTGTTTTGTATCGTAAAGGAATAAGACACCGCTGTACCTACACGCGCACGAGTCATTGCACACACACACACACCGCAGCAAATGACTCAGTAAGGGTGTCGACTGAAGAGATCGGATGAAGAAGGGGGGGTGGGTGGTTGGGTCGTGTTTGGTGAACACAAGTGGCTTAAAGGCTCGGGTATCTACGTTGCATCTATGCATGACCGCACTGGTCAAACAACTCGTTTCGGCCTTGGCTGTGCCTTCGTTTGATTGCGCTGCTGTTGGGGACTTTAGACAGGAAAGAGGAGAGGGGTGGGGGGCAAGGCAAATAATATCGGCGCTTGTGCCGCGCGAGGTTTGTCAATCGTCCCAACAGAGGGCATTCAGAACGAGGACACGACGCCTTACGGATAGGGAGCCGGGCAGCTTGGTTTAGGGGGTTTTTTGCCGTTGCTACGGCGTCCGACCATTGAGTTATTTTACGGTAAAAAAATTAACCACAACAACAAATCTGCGTCGTCTTACAAAAAAGGGACGAAGAGAGAAGAATACGGAAAACGTCAGACATGGTAAATTGCGAACGTTCATAACCGCGCCGAATGGTTTTCCCTTTGGGTTTCGTGGTGGATGATGGGATCGCACTTTTAGCCCAGAGGCACTATAAGGTGCTGCTCTTTAAAAAAAAGTGTACTTCAGGGGAAGAGAAAAAAGCCCGTGTAACTTCAGGACGAAGCGGTAATTTGCGTAGAGGGATTAAAGTGCGCGGAAAAAAATGAGGCTTTGGAAAGTAGGAAATGTAAAATAAATGCTGACGTGATGCGGGGAGCCGTGTGACGGTTTACAACGGAGGGGGAGAGAAAAAAAAAGCACGCGCGAGTCTTAAATGACATGTCTACACCGCAGAAACAAAATAATTTAGCAAAACGTGATATCTATCGCCTCGGCAGGCGACGACGTTGAGAAAAAAGCTGGTGATTGTCGGGGATGGAGCCTGCGGAAAGACCTGCCTTCTCATCGTCTTCAGCAAAGATCAGTTTCCCGAAGTGTACGTGCCAACCGTGTTTGAAAACTACGTGGCCGATATGGAGGTGGATGGCAAGCAGGTGAGAGCCAAACCTCCCCCCGCCTGTCTTTGTACTCACGAACACCCCTAACTATTATTTTAGTACATATTTTGCTGCTATAAATGTCCGCGTGATAATCCATTTCGATGGGCTATCGTTTGTGGCCAGGTCGCTTCTGAAACAGAGCTACATTAGCTCAGTGGGCCTTACCTGGTAAAATTAAATAAAACGTTTAGTTAAAAATCGTTTAGTTTAAAAATACTATCAATATATTGCACATTTGGGTAGGGGGGAGTGGAAGTGGCAGGTTTGTAAAGATAATGTCGACAAAGCCCATGAGGTATTCACTATATTGTGCAGAATGTGTAATATCCATTTGTTAACGTTTCTGACTTGGGAATAAAAGCCCTCCTGTGTGGGATTAGCTACTGGGCTCTAGGTTGTCCACCAATGTTGGGGAAGTCTCCACGGAAGTCGACCATCTGCTGCCAAATGCTGCCTCTATGAGTTATACGGGTTCGTCTTATTCTTCTGGCCTATGGTTAGGTTCTGTGTGAAATGTTACACTTGAATATCGAGGTTTCGTAAGCTGCATAGTGGTTCCGTGTGTCATTTCGTTGATACACTCGCGGTTTCCGATGCAGCGTCGCTTCGGGCAACAGTGGATGATGCATTGCGCTGTTTGGTCACCATTTCCGTAGTCATATTTTGGAATTATGTCTCTTTGATCTTTTGGGGGGGGGGGGGTCACCTGAGTAATGTGTAAGCGATAAAAGGGCCCTTACAATGAGAGAAAATACAGTTTGATATATTAATGCTGGAGGGTGACACCCATTGGGTAAACCTTGAGGTAAGGGCGCTGAGCTGGCAACGGCTGAAGGTCATGGGTTCAAATCCAGGCAGCTGCATGTGGATAAACCAGGTTCCAAAGTTGATGGTGTCAGTTCGGTTGCCAACGACTGCACCAAAAAAAAATCTATGACATCATTAAATCATTAGATCTGATTTTTATACATTCCAGCTCTTTAGAAGTAAACATATCAGTCTGACTTTCGAACGTTATGCTTTAGCAGGGAAAGTGCTGTCCCTTAATGTGCAGAAGAGGCCACTTAAAGAGACCTCACAAGTAGTTCTGTAATATCCGCTTCCACAGACTGTTTTCTCACACTGAGTGATGGTTTGCTCAATGATAAACCCGAATAGATTCAACTCATGACAATGCCAAGAGCACAATATTGATAAAATTGAAGAAGAAAATACCATTATAACCAAGTATTCTTTATTTTTGGTTCTTTTGGTAAAGTCACGTAGAAGGGAAACAAAATAATAAAAATATATCACGTAGAAGGGAAACAAAATAATAAAAATATATTTTGTATTATTTTATTGTTTCCCTTCTACGTGACTTTACCGAAAGAACCAAGAATATGAATCCCTGCAGTCACGAAAGCTTTAAATCAAAATTCAAGTATTTTTTGTTTCTTTCGGTAAAGTCACGTAGATAGAAATAATAATAAAAAATAAAGTGAAAAAAATATCACGACGTTTCGATCGTAACACAAGCGGTCGTCATCAGGAAAAGGGGTTAGCCTCTAAAGGCAAACTGTTTATAAAGGTTTGGAGACGGGCGTAGCCCAAGTGTGTCAGCGTCACCAACAGCATGGGCAGGGCAGCAATCCAGCAGCAATGCCAATGCAGCAGCAATGCCAATGCAGCAGCAATGCCAATGCAGCAGCAATGCCAATGCAGCAGCAATGCCAATGCAGCAAAGGGCCGCCAGGAAATCACTGCACCCCGCCCCACACACCACACTGCTGACAGTGGAGGTTGATTGACAAGAAAACACAAGTCAAGTCATGACCCAAAGTGGTTGATGACATCTTGCCGATGATTGCTGAGTCTATAACCTTCCTCTCGGTTGAAATTGTGTCTGTGTCCGAATATATGGATGGCTTCATGAACGAATCTTTGTTGATAGCCAGTAGGCTTGCAAAGTACCATCGTCTTACAGAAATCAATTTCGTGTAAGCCAGCTGCATTAAATAATGATCAGCCACAGCAGAAGTATTGGTCCTACAATCTTTCAAATCTGCATTATGTTCATGAACACGGTCCGAGACATGTCGCTTAGTTTTCCCAATGTAACTGCTGCCGCAGATACATCTTAGTTTGTAGACGCCGGGATATTGCATGTCAGGAATCTTGTCCTTCACAGATGGGATCAGATCACGAAATGTATGTACTGTGTTAAATCGGACCTGGATCTTGTGTTTGTTCATGATTTCGGAAATCTTTTTGGTTACCCCTGCTATGTATGGCAGGGTGATGGTTTTGATTGTATCCTCAGATGGCTCCTTCCACACGGTTGGGGTGATGGCTTTATGGATTGTGTAGTCAGAATATCCATTCGCCTTGAGACCTTGGTGTACGTGTTTGAGTTTGCTGCATTGGCGTTGCTGCCCCGCCCATGCTGCTGGTGTTGCTCATACACTTGGGCTACGTCCATCTCCAAACCTTTATAAACAGTTTGCCTTTAGAGGCTAACCCCTTTTCCTGATGACGACGGCTTGAGGTTGCGATCAAAACGTCGTGATATTTGTGTTCACTTTATTTTTATTATTTTTTCTATGTGACTTTACCGAAAGAACCAAAGAATATTAATTCCCGCAGTCACGAAAGTTTTAAGTCAAAATATAACTAAGGATGCTGTGTTTATAAACGTAACGTTATTAAAGCCGGGTCTATTGGCACAACCTTGTATGCCTGCACTTTGGAGGCTTATGGTGTACAGTATGCAGTATATCGTTTGTAGCCTTGTGAACCTCCTGCCAGGTATTCATCTTCTTGGTTCTTTCGGTAAAGTCACGTTGAAGGGAAATAATAAAATTAAAAAAAATAAAACATAATAAAATACAATTATCACGAGTGTTCGGCCACAACACAAGTAGCCTTCGCCAGGTGAAGAAACAGGACTGTCGGAAAGACAGTGCTCCAATGAACACTGCTAAGCTTGGCAGCGTATTTTAAGCTGGGTGGGAGGAGCAGAGCGCCTTGACAAAGGAGTTTACATATCAACAGAATAATTTAGATCATTAGACCTCCTTTGCCAGTACCAAAATATAATAATAGGGTTTTTCCCCTTTTTTCTGGCAACAAAACTGAAACCTTTTTACAAGGATTCATGTCTGCATTCACCACAATACCTGCAGTCAAAATTATACAACATGCTATAAACCATACCATTGACTGTCGCGTGAAAGGTACTAAGAGGCAATGCCAGTGAATGGACTGCGGACTGAAAGTCACCGTAAAACACAATCAATCAAGAACCGAAATGGTTTATCACGTCTTTCCAATGATTACTGAGCCAGAATCCATCTTCTCGGTTTAAATTGTCTCTGTGTTTGTATATGTGGATGGCCGCATGAACTAATCTCTCATGGTAGCCGGATGGCTTTCAGAGAACCTCCGTCTTGGAGAAGTCAATGTCATGTGAGCCCACTGAATTTTAACAGTGATCTGCCACGGCTGAGGTGTTCGTTCTACCGTGTTTCAAGTCTGCTTTATGTTCACGGATTCGGTCCGCGACATGTTTGGTTTCTCCAATGTAACTGCTACCGCAGAGGCAACTTAGTTTGTAGACGCCCGAGTACTGTATGTCTGGAACCACATCTTTTACAGACGGGACCAGATCACGGATTTTATGTACTGTGCTGAATCGGACCTGGATCTTGTGTTTATTCAGGATTTTGGAGATCTTTTTTGTGACCCCCGCAATGTAGGGTAAGGTGATGGTTTTGAATGCCTCCTCAAGAGGATCCTTCTTCATGTTTGGAATGATGGCTTTGTGTAGTCGGAGTAACCATTAGCCTTGAGAGCTTGGTGTACGTGCTTGAGTTCACTGGCAATGTGTTCCTGGTCGGAGAGACATTGGGCTCTATGGTATAGAGTCTTGATGAGGGAATTATTCTGGGATGGATGGTGGTGGGAATCCGGTTTTAAGTAAGCATCCGTATGGGTAGCTTTCCTGTAGACAGAGTGGCTCATTGAACCATCAGGTCTCCTTTTAATTAGGACATCCAAAAAGGGTAGCTTGCCATCTTTTTCAACTTCCATGATAAATCTGATGGCTGGGTGTATGGAATTGATGTGGTCGAGGAATTGGTCTAGAGCAGGCCGGCCATGTGGCCAGATGACAAAAGTGTTATCCATGTACCTCTTCCATAAGGTCGGGCGTAGAGTGGCAGTCTGGATGGCGTCAGTCTCAAATTTCTCTGGTTTACGCGCAGATGCAAAACACTCGTACAATAGAATTGACCAAGGATCATCATGTATATTGCAAGTCAGTGAGGCTTTTTGGGATGGATACATGAAAATAAATTAATGAAGGCACTATGAAGTACTCTTATGCAGTGCCATGAGTGAAGGCACTTCATCATCATCAGCTATGATCAGTGGACTGCTGGATGAAGGCCTTTCCAAGCCGTTACCATTCCTCACGGTTCCACATTGCAACACTCCCTCAAACACCAGCATGGGCTCACTTCGGTATTCCATCTTCGTGGTGGCTGGCCTCACAGACGCGTTCTCTCCTCTCGGTCGGCCACTGTCGCTTGTCTCGACCGCCGGCCCATCACCTCTTCGAGCCATGACGTGTCCTGCCCAAGACCCCCGCTTACTTTTCCTAGGCGTCGATGTGATGCCCCTAACTTGTGTACGTGCTCTAATTCGCGTTGTTCCTCTTTCTGTATCAGAGGTTGCGCGATTCGTCGGCTCATTGGCTACCTGTGAGCAGGTGGAGCTGGCGCTGTGGGACACGGCCGGACAGGAGGACTACAACCGCCTGCGACCGCTCTCCTACCCGGACACCGACGTCATCCTCATGTGCTTCTCCATCGACAGTCCTGATAGCCTGGGTACGACCGCCTCAAGCCCTTGGCAAAGCCACGCAATGATAAAAATAACAGGGCTTCAAATACAAAACTCCCTGTAAATTATGAGAAAAAAAACATCACAACGGTAACGTGTGCTGGCAGTAAACAAAGAAAAATAACAACACACAAAGGTATGCATCTGAAAAACAGCAGGAAGACACGTCTGCCACCATGTCTTGCATGTCATACCACACTGCATCTGATATGCTCTCAGCCTTGTCTAATGGGATGGCCATATTTTCAGCTATTTATTATTTGATAGTCTAAACAATAATACAGCCACAAATTCACTTCCCTTGAGCTAGTGGTTTAGACAAGGCTAACAGCACTGTATGCTATACATGCAGTGTGGTGGTCACTTGACATACATATAGGTGATGATGGGAGTCATGCCTTCGGGCTGAATAACTCCTTCCTGCAAGATTTGCAGACTTGTTTTTTTTAAATATAACACTGGAGCGATGCACTTTTAAATCTAGATTGAAATCGCATTTCTTTATAACTGCTTTTTGTGTTTAGTTCGTTGTCCTTCCCCCGCACCTCTGCTTAGCACAGTTGGCTATGTACGGTGCGAAAGAAGCTCAACATACATACAAACATTACACGAGTCTGTAAGAATTGTAAACTGTTCAATGGTTTCCCTTCAGTTAAATTGCTTGAGCTATAATTCAACTTCATTTCGGAATATAAATACACAGTTACAGCTTATTGAATTTTACATCATGAATTTATGTAAATTAAGTGGAGTGAATCCAGTGCTTGTATTGTGCCCATGGGCATTTACAGATGGTGAAATTAGATTACTTATTTGATTTTAAAAAAATTTCCCAATTACTCAATAGGAGAAAAAAACCACACAATACTGTACTGTTATCCACAGATGACCTTGACGATCTTGCAACATGTCCTGGCACCAGCCCACTTCCTTTTCTCAGCAGCCAATATGAAAAGTACACCGCATGGCGTGTAACTCTGGCTGCGCGTTGCGCACCCGCCCCCCGCTGCGACTTTACACGAGGGCCCCGTACCTTCACAGAGTGGACAGATGTCAGATTGCATAAATACCACATGAGGGTGGGGGGGGGGGTCTCGCTGCATCGTTTGCACTGATGAAAGTTTGTGCCACAAACTTTCAAAGGTGTTTTGGCCTACTCTTCCACACAGACCCGACATCGTATGAGTAACCACACACACTATACTCCACCCCACGCGCCCTGCTAACTGTGGTGTATCCATTCATACTGTTGGGTGGATAGAGGTGGCGGGGGGAGGCGCCGTGGAAATCGTGTCACGCGCAGGGAGGGGGAATCGGCAACCTCAAAGTCCACGCTGCGAACGGCAGCATCACTCCCACCCTGGCCCCCCACCATAATGATTTTTTTCTTAATTAACCACACCTTGATTTGCATTCAGGTAACATCACCGACAGGTGGACTGCGGAGGTGAGGCATTTCTGTCCCAACGTGCCCATCGTCCTCGTCGGAAACAAGAAAGACCTCCGCAATGACGACAACACGAAGCGTGAGCTCGCCAAGATAAAGCAGGTGACGGGGATGGCGACCTCACTGGAGGTCGTTATACATCTGTACTCTGTCGTTGCTGCAGTTGGGTGTTCATCCGTCCTAGTGGTTGTTTTGGCTTGCGGCGGAGGTTACGCATTCCTATGACAGTGATGACGATGATCATGATGTTGTGGCAGAACGTGCCTGAGAGAACATCGGCTGAGGAGATGGAGAGGATGAGATCAGCTCGTGTGGGCAGGGGCTAGATGGATTGTTGCAACGTGTGACCAAGATGGATGCCAACGGCTTTGGGAGGCTCGACTGTGGCTGGCAGTGAAGTTGATGATGGTTCGAGTTAACGCCGACAATAATTTTTTATGTTGACTTTGAGCCCAAAGCTGAGCTATTACAGCCACATTTCAGAGTGGCTCAACCACGAATGAAAACACAAGGCCTTCCTCAGAGCTAATAGCCACATAAGTGATTGATGGAAATTTCAAGCCAGCTTATTTTCATTATAATTGCTGATAACATCAGAGCAGGCTCTCGCCATACAGAGAACTAACCTTTGCACAACATGCCATGTCACTTTATCCAGGAAAGTCTCATTGAGTCTAAAAAACATTTTTCCTTCATTCGGACCCTGCATTCAGATTTGTTTGGCTGTTTTCTTCAGGGGTCTTCAGTAAATGTTAGTAAAGTATGTAAAACATGCACATGAACCAATACAATTTAAGAATCTCATGAAACAAGATGGGATGAACCCATGACAAGTGAGACTTGTTGACTTATACTGGACTTCTGTGAAAAAGAGCTTTATGGCTCATTGGATTCCGCTTTTGACTTCAGCTTGGAGATTATGCACCTTCATGGCAGCCTTGGTTACATAAGAATTGTGCGAATACCGAACGCACTTACTAATCGTTGCCATCATCAGACTGAAATTCCCCATCATCACAATGAACTTAAATACAGCAATCACAAAGAGGTGAAGTGGAGGGATTGGGGATCGAGTAAAATATGTGCGACACTCATGTACGCAGCCCGACCTACAATCCAACACACTCCATACAATCTTGATTTGAAGCTTTCGTGACTGCAGGGATCCATAATCTTTGGTTCTTTCGGTAAAGTCGCGTAGGTATAAAATAAATTAAATCACGACGTTTCGACTGCAACACTGATGATGATTGCTTGTGTTGCAGTCGAAACGTCCTTATTTAATTTATTTAATTTATTTAATTTTATACCTACGTGACTTTACCGAAAGAACCAAAGAGTACACTCCATACACACTGGTCTACAGATACACATGCCGATTAGCATTTTACATGATGGACATTCAGGCCGATGAGGACTACAATCTTGCTGCAATGTAATTTCTCACCTGTTCAATGAAACAAATGTTATTTTGCATCATAAAAAGTAGACAATATTCCTCCACAATGTGCATGTTGTAAATAAGATAGTTTCAGCTGGATGGCCCAACTAAGCTGTTGGGGTCTATGTCATCGGCATCCTGCGATACGAGGCCACTGTGCCACTGTGCCCTAGTTTGTTGTCAAGAGTATTCCAACTAGCATTCACACATTCACTAAAATAATGTGTGGGTACAATGGCATTCTACTTGCTTTGTATGCATGTTGCACTTCTTTTGCACCGTACATAAGTCAACCGCGCTAATCGGAGGTGTGGGAATGGGCAACAAACTAGAGACAAAAAGTATTTTTAAATTAATGAGTTTTCAATCTAGATTTAAAAGTCCGTACCTCCAGTAGCTTTCTAATATCAGAAGAGCATTCCAGACGGCTGCAGAAGCACACCTGAAAGCGCGCAATGCTTTACTGTCGCCTCAAGACACCACCTTCGTAGCCCAGCAAGGTTGGGGGGTCTCAAGCATATGATGATAATCTGCGTGATCCACCAAGCCTGCTTCCAAAGCTCAGGATAACAGGCGCGCGCGTGTTTATGACTTTCTAGCCGCAATATCTCCTGGTGTGCACCGTGTGCAGGAGCCGGTGAGGGTGGAGGAAGGCAGAGACATGGCCAACCGGATAAATGCCTTTGGCTACATGGAGTGCTCGGCCAAGACCAAGGATGGCGTGCGTGAGGTCTTTGAGATGGCCGCCAGGGCTGCCCTGCAAGTCCGCAAGCGCAAGAAGACGAGCGGTTGTCGTCTCCTGTGAGCGTGTGACCACCCCCCCCCCCCCCCAAGCCAGAAAAGGCACCAAAACGTACGGTCTAAAGCTATCGTTTGAGCGCAGAGCACATGGCATATTTGGAAATTCTACCCATTTAAGCGGCAGGCGGCCAATTTTTAGTTTTGACTCTTTTACCCACGCACCGATTTTATGTAGAAAGAGTAAAAAATGGAAGCCTACCACTTACATCGGAAGCGTTCCCAAGTGTGATGCTGTGCATTGCAGAAATAATTTGACCTGCAGTCTGAGGGCAGGAGTGGTAAAGTAACCTCTTCTCACCTCTAAATGGACTGTATTTAATTTTATCCAAATAATATAGCCATTTTTTTACCTAAAGTTTAGGATATGTTTAAGAATAAATTATTATATAATGCTGCTATGGGTGACGTGAGCTTGTTTCTTATCTGTGTGTCTCTGTTGGATGAATATAAAAATGATTTTGCAACAAACGTATTTGTGAGTGAAGCCATTTTTTGTGCATATTACAACAACAGAGGGCATTTTCCACGATGTGCTGGTGAAATCACCACGGTGCTTATACCAGGCAAAGTTTACTATAAGGCCACGTTCAGTGATAAAGATCCACTGGAAACAGATCACAGGACAGGCCCAGATATTATGGATTAACTGACATGGATGAGTGGTAGATGTACCTCCTACACTCCACCCTGTGCCAAGTTAGCAGTTCACATCAAGAAGCACAATTTTAAATATATTTGCATATGTGCCAGCTGTGGCATGGCCTATACTTATACAGCCAAAGGCACCCATAATGTAAAAACAACGTCCTCTACACGATGTATCTGAGAAACCCAGTCTCAAGACTCTTGTTCAAGAAGTTCTGTAATTGAATATGTTGGTCTTTTTGTAAAATCCACCCTCTTCATTGTTAGGGGTTCTAAAAACTTTCAATCGTGGTGGCTGTTCTCAGGTTTAAAGGATTCTTACTTAGTTAAACAAAGGACGTAGCTCAATACTGCTCAAAGGTCACTGCTAACCTGTTCTAGATTTAAAGCTTTCGTGACTGCAAGGATCCATACTCTTTGGTTCTATTGGGTAAAGTCACGTAGGTAAAAAAATAAAATAACAAAAATCACGACGTTTCGGCCACAACACAAGCGGCCTTCATCAGGTGAAGGGACGAGACTGTCTGGAGGACAGCGCTGGAGTGTAGGTGCCTCGGTGAATGTATATGCTCTCTGACTTTAACATAGCTATTTCTGTGACCAGTTACAAGCTAATCACTCAGCTATTTCAATGCTAAATTCTATGCTAATTCCTTTGTCAAGGGGTGCCTCTGCGGATGTGTATACTTTAACTTTAACATAGCCATTTCTGTGACCAGTCACAAGCTAATCACTCAGCTATTTCAATGCTAAATTATATGCTAATTCCTTTGTCAAGGCACTCTGTTTCTTCTCACACAGCTTAAAGGTCGTGATCTGAGCGTGGCTTTTTTCACTCCAGCGCTGTCCTCCAGACAGTCTCGTCCCTTCACCTGATGAAGGCCGCTTGTGTTGTGGCCGAAACGTCGTGATTTTTGTTATTTTATTTTTTACCTACGTGACTTTACCCAATAGAACCAAAGAGTACACTGCTAACCTGCTTAAACATTTGGGCATCTATGAGGCATGCAGCGACTTGGGGGGGAGGGGTCTTGTCTGCACTGCATTTCTCAAAATATCACGGGACCTCCTTTGCCAGCACCAAAATAAAATAGGTTTTCCCCTTTTTTTCTGGCAACAGAACAGGTGTTAAGATGTTAAAACACCAAACTGAAACCTTTTACAAGGAATCATGTCTGCATTAACCACAATACTTGTGGTCAGAATGCAAACAAAAAGAACATACTCTGATGATATATGCATTGTCTTTGAAACTGATTAGTCCACACTAGATACAGCTTTCTTTTGAGCCTCGTCTCAAATGGTGCGGACCAATCAGTTTCAAAGACAATGCATACAGTGAGGGAAAACATTTTTTTATCCCCTGCTGATTTTGTACGTTTGCCCACTGACAAATAAATGATCAGTCTATAATTTTAATGATAGGTTTATTTGAACAGTGAGAATCAGAATAACAAAAAAATCCAGAAAAACGCATGTCAAAAATGTTATAAGTCCATTTGCATTTTAATTAAGGAAATAAGTATTTGACCCCCTCTAAATCAGAAAGATTTCTGGCTCCCAGGTGTCTTTTATACAGGTAACGAGCTGAGATTAGGAGCACACTCTTAAAGGGAGTGCTCCTAATCTCAGCTTGTTACCTGTATAAAAGACGCCTGTCCACAGAAGCAATCAATCAGATTCCAAACTCTCCACCATGGCCAAGACCAAAGAGCTCTCAAAGGATGTCAGGGACAAGATTGTAGACCTACACAAGGCTGGAATGGGCTACAAGACCATTGCAAGCCGCTTGGTGAGAAGGTGACAACAGTTGGTGTGATTATTCGCAAATGGAAGAAACACAAAAGAACTGTCAATCTCCCTCGGCCTGGGGCTCCATGCAAGATGTCACCTCGTGGAGTTGCAATGATAATGACAACGGTGAGGAATCAGCCCAAAACTACATGGGAGGATCTTGTCAATGATCCCAAGGCAGCTGGGACCATAGTCACCAAGAAAACAATTGGTAACACACTACGCCGTTAAGGACTGAAATCCTGCAGCGCCCGCAAGGTCCCCCTGCTCAAGAAAGCACATATACATGCCTGTCTGAAGTTTGCCAATGAACATCTGAATGATTCAGAGGACAACTGGGTGAAAGTGTTGTGGTCAGATGAGACCAAAATGGAGCTCTTTGGCATCAACTCAACTCGCCGTGTTTGGAGGAGGAATGCTACCTATGACCCCAAGAACACCATCCCCACCGTCAAACATGGAGGTGGAAACATTATGCTTTGAGGGTGTTTTTCTGCTAAGCGGACAGGACAACTTCACCGCATCAAAGGGACGATGGAGGGGGCCATGTACCGTCAAATCTTGGGTGAGAACCTCCTTCCCTCAGCCAGGGCATTGAAAATGGGTCGTGGACGGGTATTCCAGCATGACAATGACCCAAAACACACGGCCAAGGCAACAAAGGAGTGGCTCAAGAAGAAGCACATTAAGGTCCTGGAGTGGCCTAGCCAGTCTCCAGACCTTAATCCCATAGAAAATCTGTGGAGGGAGCTGAAGGTTCGAGTTGCCAAACGTCAGCCACGAAACCTTAATGACTTGGAGAAGATCTGCAAAGAGGAGTGGGACAAAATCCCTCCTGAGATGTGTGCAAACCTGGTGGCCAACTACAAGAAACGTCTGCCCTCTGTGATTGCCAACAAGGGTTTTGCCAGCAAGTACTAAGTCATGTTTTGCAGAGGGGTCAAATACTTATTTCCCTCATTAAAATGCAAATCAATTTATAAAATTTTGACATGCGTTTTTCTGGATTGTTTTGTTGTTATTCTGTCTCTCACTGTTCAAATAAACCTACCATTAAAATTATAGACTGATCATTTCTTTGTCAGTGAGCAAACGTACAAAATCAGCAGGGGATCAAATACTTTTTTCCCTCACTGTATATTATCAGGGTATGTTTTTTGTTCGCATTCTGACCACAAGTATTGTAGTTAATGCAGACATGATTCCTTGTAAAAGGTTTCAGTTTGGTGTTTTAACATCTTAACATCTGTTTTGTTGCCAGAAAAAAAGGGAAATCCTATTCTCATAAAATGTATACCGTCTTCGCTGGTAGTATTATTCGAACGGCCTTTATCATTTGTACTATATAACCCTCACCTCCGTTTAGCACGGTTGGCTACGTACGGTGCGAAAGTTCAAGTTACATACATACTGCCTCATTCATAATGCCCCAGTTTGTATCGTCTGTATCTTTTGTACGGTCCACCTCATTTGAATGTGTCATATTTATACGGTCTGTCTCATACTTCCTTGTTTATACAGTTCTGGTGTCATTTCTACCGTCTATCCTTTTGTACCGTCTGATGTGTACTGTACGTCTTTTTCAGTGCTGTCTTGTTGGTTCTATATTTTCGTGCTGTTTTTATATTTTGTGCTGTCTTGTTTGTACTGGCCTCATTTGGTACTATTTTGTCTATTATTTAATCTGTACCGTCTCGTTCTGTCTCATTTGTACTGGTCACGTATTCTGTGCTCCCATCTGCATGGTATCATTGTCTTGTTTGTAGTCATTCATTTGTACTCTCTCGACTGTACTTTCTTGACACTCATGTAATATCTCTTTAATTCCACTGGCCTAAAGGAAAAAACATGATTTAAAAACAGTGTGATCAAAGGACATTATTCCCCTGGCATGCAAGCATCTTCACTCACCCACTGATCAGCGTGAATTGGGCCATATCTGAGGATATATCTTTCATCAAAATCAGGACTCAAATGTATGTTTGGACGCCGCGGTGGTGAGACGTTAACTACCCTGCCTGGTGTGCAGGATACCTTGGGCTTTATACCGACCCTGACGCCTGCATATTTTGAGCTTGCATGTTCTCTCTGTGGTCGCGTGGATTTTTCTCCGGCTCATCCGGTTTTTCCTTCCACATTTAGAAATGTGCTTAAGAGTCGTTGGCTGCTATACATTCCCACATGATAAGCCACTTCGTTGAGCTATCATTTGTGGCCAGGTGGATTCTGAAAAAGAGCTATATCGCTCAGTGGGCCTTGCCTGGTAAAAAAAAGTTTACTAAGTTTAGTATATTCCAGTAAAGAGGCAGAGCGACAGCGACCAATTTCTGCACAAGATGCCCCCATTATACGCCACGAGATGAAGAATCCACTTGCAACTCTCAGAACACTGCTCTGTGTATCACTCCGTGTAAAAGAATGGTCCACGGAAGGGTGTATCACAGAATTACTTCGGAAAGCTCAGGTGACCTCTCTTATCCATCCACACCAGGCCGCAGCAATTTCCTAAGCATTCTGGCTGCAGAGAGTAAAGTTCGTATTATCCAGCCGGTGTTGACCTTCTGGGTCTCATCAGCGGTAAAGTTTGTTGAACCTTTTTTGAGTCACCAGATGCTATTGGTGAGAGCACTGTAGCTTTTTGTTCAATGCTAAAAGCTACAGTATATTGTAAACACATTACATTGGTGACAATGTGTTGGCAGTGGTGCACAGGCACACAACCGAAAAAACAAAACGTAGCGCATTCAACAAGCACTGCTTACAGAGGGCGCAGTAAATTAGCAACTCCCAACACACCGGTGTGCTTAGATAGCAAGTAATTGGCACGTTTTGTTTACGTGAGAACCCTTACTAATTAGCTATGTCTCGTGGTGGTGGTGGGTTAACGACATATTTATATTTACGCGATCTAACCCACAAAAAAACCTTTATTATGGAGCGACTCGACCTCTGTGGCCCGTGTGCTGTGAAGACGAGTGTTTGTTATTATTGGATTGTGTACAAACTCCTGAAGCGTGGTTGTGAATCGTTGTCATGAGTAAAACATGAATTGCATTTCCGAATTTAAAAAAAATCGATCACATAGTATTCATTACGTGCCCAGCATCGGAGTGTGAATGAGCAATGTCTCCTTCATATATCCCCGTCTCTCCGCACCAAAAAAAAACACCACAAAAGCAACTTTGAACCAAACCCATGTGTCGCCAACGGCCTGCGGATACTTGGCAATGCATTTCAGCAGCATTGCTTCAACACAAGTAACCATCAAATAACAAAAACACTGCGGACGTGGAGACAGACATATGTAATCACGAAGGTGACTACATATCGTCTCCTTATCTACGTTTTTATTTAGACTCTGCACGAGGACGCTAGCGATTATGTTTGAGCTTCCACATTAGAGGACAGGTCGACCACAGTCAGTCCACGTGTTCACCTGTTTCACCTGGGTGGAGAACGCGGAAGGCGTGGCTTGAACAATTTATGCAAATTACCATCGGTGGGGAGGGGTATTGAAGCGGGGGCGTTGCCTAAACGGGGGGGGGGGACCGGCTTGCAATCGCGCGAGGGGCGTGGCGTAAACAAAGAGGGCGCGGCCTAAATAACCGTGGGCGGGGTCTGCCGGGAAAAGATAGGCGGGGCTAGTAGGGTGTGGTCTGATTCGTGACGTCACACCCTGCCGCGCCTTGACCCCGCGCCTTGACCCCGCGTCTCCCACCCACCCACCCCGCGACGACGGGTTTGCCTGTGCGGCCGCGGTAAGCGCCTCAAGCCCCTTCCCTGACTTCATTCCCCTCGCGAGCGAGACGAGGTTGACGCCGTCAAGCCCATCCGCGTGCGTCTTGACGTTAATCTGGCGGTGGGGTGTTGTAGTTGTTGTAAAGCTCGGCTTTTTTGTTGATCGACGCGGCCGGACGACGGGTTGTTCCAGGCGACGCCGCAGGCTTCTCCGGCTGGGCGTAGGCCTCGCGTCGACAAATAATGGAGCCAACTGTTTGTGGTGGTGGTGGTGGTTATTGGTGGTGGTGATGATGTTGGAGCCAGTGTTTGTGGTGGTGGTGGTTATTGGTGGTGGTGATGATGTTGGAGCCAACTGTTTGTGGTGGTGGTGGTTATTGGTGGTGGTGATGATGTTGGAGCCAACTGTTTGTGGTGGTGGTGGTTATTGGTGGTGGTGATGATGTTGGAGCCAACTGTTTGTGGTGGTGGTGGTTATTGGTGGTGGTGATGATGTTGGAGCCAGTGTTTTGTAGTGGTGGTGGTGGTGGTTATTGGTGGTGGTGATGATGTTGGAGCCAGTGTTTTGTGGTGGTGGTGGTTATTGGTGGTGGTGATGATGTTGGAGCCAGTGTTTTGTGGTGGTGGTGGTGATGATGTTGGAGCCAGTGTTTGTGGTGGTGGTTATTGGTGGTGGTGATGATGTTGGAGCCAGTGTTTGTGGTGGTGGTTATTGGTGGTGGTGGTGATGATGTTGGAGCCAGTGTTTTGTGGTGGTGGTGATGATGTTGGAGCCAGTGTTTTGTGGTGGTGGTTATTGGTGGTGGTGATGATGTTGGAGCCAACTGTTTGTGGTGGTGGTGGTTATTGGTGGTGGTGATGATGGAGCCAGTGTTTTGTGGTGGTGGTTATTGGTAGTGGTGATGATGTTGGAGCCAGTGTTTTGTGGTGGTGGTTATTGGTGGTGGTGATGATGGAGCCAGTGTTTTGTGGTGGTGGTTATTGGTAGTGGTGATGATGTTGGAGCCAGTGTTTGTGGTGGTGGTTATTGGTGGTGGTGATGATGTTGAAGCCAGTGTTTTGTGGTGGTGGTTATTGGTAGTGGTGATGATGTTGGAGCCAGTGGTGGTGGTTATTGGTGGTGGTGATGATGTTGGAGCCAACTGTTTGTGGTGGTGGTTATTGGTAGTGGTGGTGATGTTGGAGCAAGTGGTGGTGGTTATTGGTGGTGGTGATGATGTTGGAGCCAACTGTTTGTGGTGGTGGTGGTTATTGGTGGTGATGATGTTGGAGCCAGTGTTTTGTGGTGGTGGTTATTGGTGGTGGTGATGATGTTGGAGCCAGTGTTTTGTGGTGGTGGTGGTGGTTATTGGTGGTGGCGATGGTATTGGTCAGTTTAACACGTAGGCTTTCGCGACCAATATTATTATGGATGATATTGGTTGGTGATGTTGGTGGTAGTGGTGGCGGGGACGGTGGTGATCAAGTCGTGGTGGGGAGCGGTGGTGGTTATTGGTGATGTTGGTCAAGTCGTGGTGATATTGGTTGATGATGGTGATGTTACTTATGAGAGGGTGGCAAGATGTCAAGTACCTCGCGAGGTCGTGTGGTCGATCCCGACCCTGACGCCTACTGTATATTTCGAGTTTGTGGTGGTGTGGATTTTTCTCCGGGTCCTCCGGTTTTTTGCTATACATTTAAACGTGATAAGCCACTTCGTTGAGCTATCATTTGTGGGCAGGTCGCTTCTAAAAAAGATCTATATAGCTCCGTGGACCTTACATGGAAACATAAAAATTGTTTACTTTTTATAATGGTGGTTATGTCATTGACGAGAATGGTGATGTTATTGATGCTGCTGATAGTGCTATACATGGTGGTGGTAATAATGAATGACGTTATTGATGCTGGTGGTGATGCTATATTGATAGTGATGTCATGTGGGAGTGTATGTATGTGTGACGAGTTATTCCGACTTGCCTGCTGGAGGTAGATAACGTTAAAACCAAATTAGAGCCAAACGAGCCTAAAACGTTTGTGTTGGGTAGCCAAAATCACAGCTTGCAAACAAAATACGGGATCTAAAGAAGCAAATGGTAGTGACAGCTGTACAAAAGTTGGGTCTCTTGTGTAAAAGGAAGTGTCTGGGAGGCACAGGGGAGCCATTTTAGTGGGGTCCTGCGTTGCCTTCTGGTTAGTATGTCAAAGAAACCAACTCTGCACTGATGACACGCTGTGATTTGTACTGTCCGAACGCCACACGATGAGGTGCGTATCCGAAAAGTAAGTTAATGCATTGGCAGTGGTGTACAGGAACACAACCAATACAAGGTGATCCATTTATAGGATACTCCACTGATTTGCAAAAGCCCCTTCCGAACGAGTTTTTTAATAGTGTGAAAGCAATGTCTCCCATCGCAGAAGAGACTTGCAATATTTAATTGTATTGAGGTTGTTGGGGGGGACGTGTACGTTTATCGTTGTCGATTACGATGATGGGATGTTCATAAATGGATCACCTGGTGGATCTGATTCAAGTTGTTAAGAACGTTTCGGGCCATGGCAAGTGTTAGAATTGACCAGTCAGCCTGTGATGTAGAGTGTAGAAAACAAATCCAAGTGGTTCGTGACTGGTGCAGCTCAACTGAGGTGCAACGGGTCTCTTAATACGGTGGAGCTGCCATTATCTTTACATATCTGTCAACCCAGTGTACCCGTATTCTTGTCCAGGGAAATTGCGTTTTCAGGTCCATACGGCGTACAGCGGTTTAAACATTTTTTGTCTTTGTCTTTCTGCCTTGCGATGGGATTTATAAGGGCACCGGGTGACCAATAAGGTCTGAATTGGTCTGTAATAACGTAGGCACTGATTAAGGGTTGACATGTATGTCTTTAAAGGTGGCCAGATCTAATTGAAAGGTCTATCTGGACCACCGACTAGTTGTAAAATACTAGTACACCGACAGCAGTGCTTAAGTTATGACACCGATCCTACGTTGAAGTGTTTCTGTCTACTTAAATTACTTGTTATGTTGCCTGCTCAGATGGCAGCCATAAGGAAAAAGCTGGTCATTGTCGGGGATGGAGCCTGCGGAAAGACCTGCCTTCTCATCGTCTTCAGCAAAGATCAGTTTCCCGAAGTCTACGTGCCAACTGTGTTTGAAAACTACGTGGCCGATATCGAAGTAGATGGCAAGCAGGTGGGAGCAAATGTGGTTCACGACGACTTCATCTGTCTGTTTTAGTATAATAGTAAACATGCACTGTATATATTAATGGAAATAAGTACATCCCAAAAATATTTATCTGCATCGATAACTTGTAACCGCTCATGGAGTTTTCCTACTTTATCATGCCAAACAGGAGGAAATGCATTGGTGCATTAATGATTGATGGATTGTGTTGGGCGAATTACATTTTGAATTTTAGGCTAACTAGTTTAAGTGTGATGTTTTCATTATCAGATTGTGAGTGACTAACATTTTGAATATCACATTTAATAGGGTTCATTTTTGAAAATGTATTTTTTTTATAATGCATTTGACTATCTGTTCTAAATTTCAGCTTCATAGCCCTTCTAGAACATAATTCTCTAAATTAACTTTAAGCTCACCTTTAAATTGGCAATATTTTATCTCATTTTATAAGTGGCTCTAGTACTCTTAAATTCAGGTGAGGAGAGTTGAAGGATTACTGTCTGTGAGCAGGTGGAGCTGGCGCTGTGGGACACGGCCGGACAGGAGGACTACGACCGCCTGCGACCGCTCTCCTACCCGGACACCGACGTCATCCTCATGTGCTTCTCCATCGACAGTCCCGACAGCCTGGGTATGACCGCTCAAGCTCTTGGCGAAGCCACGCAATGATAAAAATAACAGGGCTTCAAATACAAAACTCCCTGTAAATGATGAGAAAAAAAATCACAACGGTAATGTGCTGGTAGTAAACAAAGAAAAATAACAACACACAAAGGTATGCATCTAACAGCAGGAAGACACGACCATGTATTGCATGTACACATGTCATGTGACCACTGCATATGAAATGCTCTTTGCTTTGTCGAATGGGATGGCCACGTTTTCAACTCATGAGTTGGTGGTCTAAAACAATGATACAGCCACACATTCACTTCCCTTGAGCTAGTAGTTTAGACAAGGCAAACAGCATTGTGCTATACATGCAGTGTGGTGGTCACATGACATGCATATAGGGCATGATGGGAGTCATGCCTTCTGGCTGTTCGTAAACACACCTTTGTACCCTATTTCTAAATAACGGAGTCCTGACAACCTGGGTACGTGCATCCTCTCAGGCATGCGGGGAAATCCTGTACAACCATTGCGGGAGGAAAAAAAACAGTGTTCAAAATACATTGAAAAGGAAGCGTGAACAGGAAGCGTGTAATAATTCTTCTCTCTTGAGATGATGCGAATTATCACAATGTGGGGGTTTCAATGTAGATCATATCATGGCTGCAGGAATCATGTGAGCCACATGCGATGTAGGAACTGTACATGATTGATTCTCATTTGCATGATGTGACGCATGTATTGGGATCACCATGTTATATTTATTTAAATTGATACATTTTTAGATCGGGGCCTTCAATCGAGGACAGTTGTAGCTCAAACCCCAAGACACTGCATTGCGTCAATCGTTAAACATGAATATATTTGCTTAATTAGCGACACGCATACATTCAGGTAAAAGGCATTGTCTACTGTGAAGACGGATATTTGTATCGAGCCTGCATTCTCAATGTTCCTTTAGAAAACATTCCTGAGAAGTGGACCCCAGAGGTGAAACATTTCTGCCCAAATGTGCCAATTATCCTGGTGGGAAATAAGAAGGACCTGCGCAATGACGACAACACAAAGCGTGAGCTTGCCAAGATGAAGCAGGTGAGGTACCTATTTACAATAACTATTTCAATGTTTTGTCTTGGACGATTAATAATGAGCGGTTAGAATTTTACTGTGGGAACAAGGCTGATCATGGTTGTTTAGTCATTCTCAGAGTCCTAAGCATCACTGTTCACTGGGATTGTCTTGTGCAGGAGCCGGTGAGGGTGGAGGAAGGCAGAGACATGGCCAACCGGATAAATGCCTTTGGCTACATGGAGTGCTCGGCCAAGACCAAGGATGGTGTGCGTGAGGTCTTTGAGATGGCCACCAGGGCTGCCCTGCAAGTCCGCAAGCGCAAGAAGACAGGCGGTTGCCGGCTCTTGTAAACTGTTGCTTAAGTTGCCTTTTTTCTTCGTAAATCAAATTCAGTACACTATACGTGGCGAATATATTACACACGCATCACGAATTTCGTAACTCGTGTTAAAAGTTGTCTAAAGAAGGGGCTTTCGTTACTTACGTTAAGCATGGGTTTTCATTGGAAGCCGTCAACGCATTCCCTTTTTCCGAGGCAGATGAAGGTGTAGCCATGTGCTGGTTCCAGGCTGCTGCTTTGGACCAGCCCCCACGGCAGGGACCTCTCCACAAGCACTAGTCTGCTCTTTTGGTTCAAGGCCTTGATTCTTGCCATCGGGATTCTTTGCAGTTTCAACTTAAGCCACATCTTTTTCCAGCCAAATTTTAAGGGGGGGGGGGGCCCGCTTCTCTGTTGTGCTGTATTGTGCAGTCCTCCATCCTGTGACTGCCCCAAGTGGTGGTAAAATTGAGACCATCCGCACTGCTTGCTGCTGAGGTCCTGATCAGTCTTTTGTGTGGCTGATGCAGAGCAACAACTGCAATTTCACATTCAGGTTGTCAAGCCAGATAACTGCCTCATATAGCATCGTGTATTGATGTAGTCTCCTTAGTATATTTGGATTGTTATGTTGGTCCTAATAGCGGCCAACCTGTTCCCTAACACTAAATATGGCAACCAAAGTGACAATGCAATTTAAGACTGTCTGGGTAAATAGGCCCATAAATTGACCTGTAATTATTTTTATTCCTGGGCGAGGGCACAATGGCATTGGCCTGTCTTGGAAGAAGGGGCATGTGGATGGCCACAGTATGGAAAACCAACATGTTATCTCCATTTACTTAGCAGTGTAAACATTCCTTTTGGAGATGGTTCTCTTTTTGTTATGGGTTTCAGTTAGGGTGCTGTTGACTTCACATGTAGTTGTGTTTTTAGAACTACTACTGTGTTCAAGGTGACCACTCCATTAAAAATCACATGCAACCCCACTGTATTCTGCATTGAAATGACAAGTCGGTCCTTGGTTAATTTGAAACCAAATTCAAATGTACATTGGATTGTGGGTTTAATGAAGTAAAGTTAGTGCAATTGGTGCATCACCACTAAACAGTGTCACTTTTATTAACTACTGTTGTATGTAATATCAATGTTTCATGGGCTTTGCATTGTTATCAAATAAACATTCCAATACTGTATTGAACATCATTTTGAGTACTGTGGTATTGGTTGTATTTAAGTGTATTTTAAAACTATATTTGTCCCAGGTTGGAGATGCATGTATAAGCAAAAACCAATATGCACGAAATAGCATGCGACATGCATTGCTGCAATGGTAAGGAAATCGCATTTTATGTAATTAGCAAGTCCTTTTGACCATTCTTGCAGCACAACCCTGCTGTAAAGTGTATCACACTTTCCAATGAATCACACTCCACTGTTTTGACTTTAAATTAATTTGATCTTGGCACAATAAGACAAAGCAAGGCCATAATACAAAATGTCCGACTTTACAAACGATAAAACTGATGCACCTTGCTGAAAATGTAAACAAAATTGTTTTCCAAGCACATTCAATTGACAGTCAAAATACATTTAATGATACACACAGACAACTGTACTTGCTTTAATATACAATTACAGTAACCGGCTTTTTCTACGTCAGCCTAATACTGTATTAACACCATTCAAATAGACCGACATTAACAAACCAGCTAAACCAGCTGTAATGGGCACTAAGTACCAGCTGGTTGGAGCACTTATCACGCCCCAACCTTTAAATTCTAGTCATTTGGTAGTTAACTATTTATAAAAAAAAAACTGTAGTGCTCTTTTCCCATACCCAACACCACTGCCACGACTGACTTGAAGTCAGCATTCCCCTGCCTCTCACCCACCCTCAATCTGCTCGACTTCTGATTGAGCTTGCACTGTGAAAAGACAACCACCTGTATAAAAAAGCCTTGAGCAATGTAAGGTTTTACACAAGCGGTTGCGTCAATTAACCTTGTACTCTCAAAACAACCGATTGTATAAAAACCTTCATGGAAATTATGCCATTAAATTAGACGTTTTGAACACAAGGCATGATACAGCCATTATGTATCATCGAATTGACTGGATTGAAAGAGGACAATGTGAAAATTGCACACAAAAATACTCCCTAACATGTTTTTTGTTACTTTTGAGCCAGCTTGGATGAACCCCAGCAACAGCCTACTCGACGTTACGTTCCGTCTGATAGACAAAATGAGACTCCCGAATGTGTAAACCAGCTCAAGCGCTTAATGAATAAAGATTTCGAAAGGAGTCCTTTGGCATCCCCCCCCCCAACCATTTTCCCCACTGACCTCAAATGTGCCACATGTGTGCGGTGTATGCACCCTACTGCAGCCAGATTATTTTTGTATCTCTTTGACAGTGCATCACAGCGTAGTGTGACTCTGCTTGGAACGGGCTGAATCACGTCATGTGGCACAGACGGTGGTGGTTACAGCCTGGTGAGTTGAGTCGCAAACGGAAGAAGCGTGGGCGAGTTAAGACGTGGATTTTTTTTTCCCGAAACGGGGCCGATGACATGCGGCTACAGCAGTAAGCGCAGGGCGTGGTGGCGTTGCACGGAATCGCAGCACCGGACTGGCGCGGTGACTGCAGTGCTATTGTGTGTAGTGCACGCGGGGCCTTGCGTTGCAATCATGAGGTTCCGTTCTGCAGCTTGCAGGGTGGTGGCCGCAGCATGTCCTGGAAAGGATGCATGGCCTCTTGGAGGGCCAGGCACACATCCGGACACGTGCACGACACGCACGCGACCAGCGTCGGGTACAACGCTATCACCTGCTCCCACATGCTCATGTCCACTGTAAAAACAAGAGGGATTGTGCAAAAAAAACCCGCCAATAAATGAGTGCATAGTTAAAAGAATGACCAAGTGAATATGACGCCCGCATGCACATGGCCTCACAGGATTTCCTGTCAACCCACCCATGCGCTAATGACAAAAAAAATGTCATCTCCATGCACTGATGTGTTTAAGTGGCCCAGGAAAAACAGCACACAAGTACACGTTTGCGTACAATTCAAACGACAAATATAACAGTGTTGTGTGCGTCAATAATTTATGAGCCTCCAACACTGCAGTCACTGCTGCATAACCAGCACATCCGGTATTACCTGCAATTCTCGTGGATAGATAATTTCTAAATCTGTGACGTGTGGTGTACATCATAACATTTAAAGTCCTGAAGAGAAACAACCAGCAGCTAGCTGTATGGAACATTTCAAAGCCCAGGACATTTTAAAAGCCTACTAAATATAACTCCTAAATGACCACGTGCGTACCACTTGTTGTTTACACAAGGGTCTTTTAAGATTATATACTCTGTGGGCTAAGATTGTTTAAATGTGTCTTGACATTGAAACCAAAACATTCACAAGTTTTTTTTAATATATATAACATACAAATGTTTGCTTTCCCATTTAATTAGCGGTCATAAACAGCATATTTATATTTGTTGTTTGCAGGCAACACGTATACAAAAAATATATCCCTGTCATGAAGCTTGCCAAATCAAATAGAGCACACAAAGACATTCACTAGCGCCATCAACCCGGGTTTCGCCCATATATTCTTCTATGGTAGACACTGATAACAGTGGCAGAATGGAAAGAATAACAAAGGAGTCTTTTCATAGCATAAAAATAGCTCGTCGCGGTTACTTTAAACGCCCACGCCCGCATTGGGGCTGCAAATGAAGTGAAGCAAAACTCACCATTTTCCGGTCGAGTCTTTTTCAACGAATCCATTAGTGTACTTGTTGCTTTTAATACAAAAACTACTTCTGTTATCCTCTGCCTGTGAAACCAAAGGAGAAAACCGATCAACTAACTTTCAACGACACGAAGCGAAGAAAAGTGTGTTCCTCGTCATGGAAATGAGTTTTACAAATATAACCTTGCAATCAACAGAGATGCCGGCTGTAACAGCAGCTGTAAAAAAATTGTTCCCGTGAAAGTGAATTGGACAGGTGAGGTGACTCGAGCACAGACGTGAAAATAAAACAGTGGTTGCGGCAAAACTGGGGCGGCAAAGGATAAGGATACCACACTGTATCAAACAACAATATCGTGAACATTACGCGACGCATCCACAAACAAACCTTGTTCAGCAGTTCTACTACTGTACCTTTCTACCTGATGACGATTGCTTGTGTTGCGATCGAAACGTGATTTTTTTTTCTACCTACGTGTATTTTCCTAAAATAACCAAAGAGTATAAACCTTAGAGTTTTAAACTGATTTTCGAAAAGGGTCCTCTATTTATGTGTATGTACAGACTTTGTCTCATTCCGCTGCTGGATGAGTGCCTCCCAATGCCATGACCGCCTCACAATGCCATGACCATACCTCACCACGCTGTTCAGTGTGGGTTAGTTCAGGCAGGCAGTACAGATGTGGATGCATAGTACAATACATCATTCTTATGCCCTCTGCTGCCCATAACGGAGCCCCACGGCAGTCTACAAGCCGCAAGTTTTATGCACGGCGATTGCCCCATCCAAGCACTATCCCCAGCTCAACTCTGCTTAGCTTCCAAGATCTAATGAGAAGCAGGCACATTCTGGGCGATTTGGTCATAAGGCCAGATTTGTGATAGTGTGGCCAATTTCTCGGTTATTACATCACGCGGAAGGAAACCCGATTCTATCCCCTCCAAGGGGCTGGATTATACAAGTGTATTGCAGTGTTCTTCATTGCAAGGCCCGCGGGCCACTGGCGGCCCCGGGTGGCCTTTAGTGCGGCCCTTGACGTGCGGCCCCCCACAATACACAGATGTGAAAAGCCACATCATGTGTCACGGCCCTCACACTGATGTCTTATCGGCAAAAGTGCCCCCCCCCCCCCCCCAACCCTGAATAGTGAAGAACACTGGTGTATTGCCACCGCGACTATGACTGACGTACGCGCGCGTGATGTACGCTCTCCGGAACGGCGCACCTGGGCAGGGGACAGGAGCCGCTGAGTCGCTCATCCTCCACGTACTTGGCGAGCACCTGCTGCGCTCGCTGAAGCAGCGCGGCGAGCGCCATGCGCGAGATGTAGCCCTCCTGCGCACTCGTCGCCTTGCCGCTCAGCGAGAACTGCAGCAGCGTCTCGAAGCACACCTTGGAGAACTCCTCGCGCATGCGGTAGCTAACCTCCGCCTCTGCACGCCGGCAATGTCACAAAAACAACGACAGCCACGGTTGTACGTGCACACGCACACACCCATTTGTCAATCCGCTGCTGGATGAGGGCCTGCCCGCACTGTGCGTGGTTGCTGTGGTTATTTGAACCAGGCTTCACCAAGCTGGACAGTGAGGGTCGGTGAAGGTTGATGGTGGTTGGATGGGAGGGGCCAGGACTTGTTTGGGAATGACTTGACACCCATATTGGTCTGGTCTAGATTGTATGTGCGCTAGTGCATTATACAGCCCTAAAGACAATCCAGAGCTGGATTAGGGCCTTGCCACACCATGCGGATCATGGTGGTTAATTTACCATACTTCACCACACTGGTAAATGTGTAGGTCAGTGAAGGCATGGAACATAGAAGTGGGGGGTTTTGCTACCCTTCCCTCTGCTATCCAAGTCCTACGACAACCTGTTTGTGCATGGTAGTCATCCATCTGAACACTAGTGAGGCTTTTCCAATATTTGATGGGAACAATCTGGGTGATTTTATTGCATCATAGGCCAGCCATAATTATACGCAATGAATCCAGTACAGATTGTTATTGCTGCGATTCACACGTACTACTGTTTTGTATAGCATCTTGATATGCAGTTGTATTTAGACATTATCTAAACACAATGTATTTTGCAAACATTGTATTTATTATAATGGTCTAATGTCCATTGAATGATGCATGCAAGAAATTATTATTAAGTTGTGTTAGAAATATAAGGTAATTTTGGTTAATGGAGCACAAAAACCTGTACAACAAAATAAATGAATACACAAATGAGACTTAACCCAAATTGTGGCAGTTAATTGAATTTGAGAAGTATGTTATTAAGTTATGAACTAAAATCATTGTTTCTTCCTGTCTCAGGGTTAACTGTGCTATGTTCTTCCATCCTATAATCAGCATTTAAAGGCAATATAATTGACACAGCAAGCAAATGTGATTAATAAAATGTTTTGTTTGAATTATTTGAACAAAAATTAC